AATACGATCAGTAAGTATGTGGTCCACAGCTGTTCTAGTTCAAAGATGAATTAGAAGACTCCTCTCCTTCCGCAACGCCTGGTCTGATTTTCCTTGTATATTCCAAAGGGCATCCATGGACATATTTATTTTATGATTAGTTTTCGAAAGTTTTATTGATTTTGAGTTAAAATTTTGTCTTTTTCTGTTATTTTGTTGTTGTTACTTTTATTCAGACTGACCAATCGTTAGAAGTCTAGCTAGGAATAATATACATAATATGTCACGAGACTTGTCGGTTTGTTCACCATTTATTTACACTCTTATACAATGGATATTAAAACACACAAACAGACATAAACATTTATTTTGTAAACGGTATAACCGCCAGACGTTCCTAATCCTGACTTTAAATCATCTCGCTGTGTGGTCCGGGGTAACTTAATTCAATTTGTATTTCAACATTAAGATAGTCGATGATTTAACTATAACTTCTCAAACTCTCGTCGTTGATTCACTTTCCTTGTTAGCATTGGATACTTCGTTCGATTAAAATCTAACCTACTTAGTCAGTGATACAACAAACAGTATTTTGACAGATTTTTATTACAGTTATTCATTGTGTGTGAGTGTTTCGCCGATTATCTGACCATTGCAGCATATGTGATTATAATTGAGAAAATCAATAGCATGTTATGTTCTCAAAAAACAAAAGCTTATCACCAAATCAAATATGATAAAATGTTACTTTAACTTTTAATGTCGGACATCAAAGAGGAGACAATTGCGTGAAATATCGAATTTGACTCGATAAGTGCGAACTGTTTCAGATAAGATAAGTGCTTTTTGAAGATTATCTTTATATGGGTATTTTAGGTGAAATCATAAAAAAGCAGGTTGCGTGTTTCTAAATCGATAAGTTAACGGAACTCCCAGTTTTGTTGCCTGATGTTCAGGCCTGTCCTGATACATGCTGTGTCTTGTGCTATCAAACCTGGCACAACTTCTGTCCCTGGCACGTCAAACATTAGCTGTATGTCGAGGTCTGATCGATAACTCACAGGGTTATCTGTTAAACTAAATTTACTGGTTATACTGAACTAATTTTGGTTCGGATTTATGTCGTTAAACGTCCTACCAACAGCTGAGGTCATTTAGGACGTGCCTCCGTGTGTGTTGTGTGTGCGTGACTGTGTGCTGGAGACAAGGTATGTTGTTGTTTTGATAGCGCGGAATCTGATGTCGACTTGATAGTGCTACCTCACTGAAATACCATGCCGAAGGCACCCAGCTTGTACAGCATTCCGCCCGGTTACATTATACTGACAACGGGTGAACCAGTTACTTGTATTCCCCTTGATGCTGAATGCTAAGCAAGGTATAACAATTACCATTTTTTGAGGACTTTGATATGTCCCGGCCTGGAGACAGAACCCATTGCCTTCCTCCCCTGTGAGAACGTTCAACATTAAAGTCAAAAGTGCGGTATTGCCAGGCAAGAACTAAAACAGAATCAGTAAGGAAAAGTACGTCACAGTACTATCAAAGGCTTTCGAAGTGTGGACCTTTGTTTAAATTCTTATAGATTTTATATTAATGGAATAGCTTCCCTGGGTGCATTAGCAGAACAACATCTACGAGATTCTTCATGTTTAGACACGAATATCTATTCCGCCTCGGGATTTAATTTTCGACAAGCTACATGTATCACAGCTTCATATAATAATTGTTGCATGGGTCCGACCTATGATGCTCTCAGGGTAGGCTACCATCACGTGCTTGGAATTGATATTACATTGAAAATTAGTTCAAAGCAATAGGTTGGTTTGGGGGGATCTAAGTCAAAGGCGCTTACCATAAACCCTGTGGTGATTACATATTTCTTCAACATACACCGAAGTCACCAACAATTTCAAATCGATGTTGCTAAACCTCAATACTACCAGGGTCAAAACTTAATTGTTTGTTTTGTTATTTGATAAGTTGGAGTTAGCGCCTTATATTNATTGACAACAAATCTAGGACCAGTATATCGGGCTGTCTTGTGGCCGAGGCTTGTCTTGTGGCCGAGGCTGGTACAACCATGTGATTAACTCGGAATTAAAACACAACACACTGGATAGGTTTACTTCATAGAAGTATGTTTAATGGTATCGTCGGTAATAATCAGCATTAAAGATTATACATGATAATATATAGGGACACAACACTGATATATTTGACAGTCACGCTTTATCACAGATTACTTACAATGCTTATAATTTCGTATCGAGGTTCAAGTTGACCAATCATATGTACGTGAACATTGTTCGTCAAAATTTCAAATGATTGAAAACTAAACTACGAGGTGAAAAATCCGTCGACGTTAGGTTAATCATATGTACGTGAACCTTGTTCGTCGATTGAAAAAATCTAAACTACGAAGAAAACAAATCCGTCGACATTAGGTTAATCATATGCACGTGAACCTTGTTCGTCGATTGAAAACTAAACTACGAGAAAACAAATCCGTCGAAATTAACTGATTCATACGTACGTGAACATTGTTCGTCACTATTTCAGATGATTGAAAACTAAACTTCAAAGAAAAACAATCTGTCGACATTTAGTTACATGTGTTTCCTTAATAAACAACGTTTTGTGCTAGAACTTCCTTAATTTAATTAACACATGTATTTTAATCACTGGAAATTTTGCTGTATGAAGGCAAAATTAAGACATATAGCAATAATTTCAAAATATCCCTTAAAATAAAACTTAAATTCAGTCAACCTCTCCGATCCGTTTTGTATCAGATTGTTTGTAGTAACACCATGGGGAGTAATCGTTTGGTTTTATGTCTCAATTTAAAATATGACCAAACCTGTAATGTTCGTTACTAGTTTATCCAAAACCAAAAAATGTTATTGAAAACGAAACTTTTGTATAAAAAATATTCATAGAGAAATAATCGCTCACCCTTATTGTCCGTGGGGGAGGAAATCTTGTAAATTTGTGCCACAATAGATACAATAACATACCACAGTATTTATTACGAAAATAAGTAATAGAAAATCGCATTGAATACGTTATAAATCATAACCTTTACAAAACGATATACTGATAAACTAAAACAACACAAGCAATCGATCAGTTGGACAAACAGCATTAAGAACCAATAAATACTTAAATATATATATATATATCAATTAAAGTAAGAATCATACACAACTAGAATATGCAAAACACAACATCTGTATTAATGTAAGAACAACACACACAGAAAACAAAACTAGCCTTACCAAACATTGGGGTAATAGCATTCCATAGCTTCTCTTAAATAGCCAATAAAACGAATTATTTAAAATAAAACATGTAATGTGTGTTTGAGTACAAGTTATATGCTTACACATATATTATAACTTTGATTTGTATTAGAGTTAAGGTTATATACCGGCTTATAATCTATACCTGTGATTTGTATTAGAGTTAAGGCTATATGCCGACTTATAATCTATACGTGTGATTTGTATTAGAGTTAAGGTTGAATGCTAACGTATACAACATTGTACCCGTGGTTCGTATGCTAAGTTAGTACATGTATACATATTATCTAACACATTATTTCTGGTATATTTTTTAATAAGAGTTTAAGCAACACTACATGGTATACATATACATCGTTTGTATCTGCGATTTGTGTTAGAGTCGAAACCATACGCTTACATACACATGATATCGATGATTTGTGTAAAAAATAAAATTTAATTAAATATTACCTTACACGTTATGTTGTGACTTGTAATGAAGTTAAGATAATATGCTATTTCAAACATTACAATTGTGATCTGTGGTAGAGTTATTCTCTTATAATACGCTGAAAACTTTCAGAAACAATATCTATTCATTCATAGTTATAAATACCTGGCCATTATCAATGCATGCATTCTTGTGTCTTTTTTCAAATATATCGTCTATAAATTATCTATGGCCATATTGTCATTTGTAGCAGATTCCTGACAGATGTAGTCTGAATCAAATTAAACAGCAGAGGTGAACGTGGACGTCGCGTACATGTTATCAGTGATTCGTGTGAGAGCTCAGGGGAGATAACGCCCTAGATTATCCGCTAACCGACTCGGCATGTGCTGAATTAAATTAACTGTCAGCGTGTTATTTCCTGTCGCAGTGGTCGATATGTTTCGACATTCACGATGATAATAAACCGTGAACTTTAGATAGATTCGTCTGTCTTTGGACCTCCCCGATAATAGGTTAACTCTGCTATCTATAACAACTATAATTATACTGCTTTACTGTTCGGGCACCTGTTCAACTGATTATAGATTTGACAGGTATACAGAACAGTTGCGTGATATGATGAATAGACACACAAACCTGATTTATAACACAAGCAAATGCATTATTTTCGCACAAAATATATCATGATGTATCGTGGATATTGGCAGCGCACTGTCGGCTTTTAGCAAATGAAATCGAACATGTGTTAGCTAAGTGTTCGTGCTGGAGACCTTCAGTTCTCCTTTTGATTACTTTATCCCAAGAACACACGCCTCGGCCACAGTTCCCGTGGTGAAGTAGATATCCGATTAAGTCTACTTAAAGCGATTGTAGATAATTGACTGGGCCATTTAATTAATGAATAAATATACCTGATTTTTGATGGACATGCATTTGATTTATAGTCGGGTTCGTGTGTTTCACTTTTTATAAGCAGTCATTCTAAGGATAATTGGCAACATCTTGACTGTTTCATTTTATACTAATTAAAGATTCAATAAAATCGTGAATATCTTTTGTAACGCTCTCCAAAAATTTCAATTTTCCTGAGTATCTACTTGAACATACAAGAAAATATAAATAAATTATACATTGAAATGATAACGATACTGAGGAATGTCTATAAACCAGTCGGTATGACTACTGTTTTATCATATACGGCAAGACTGACAATCATTTAAAAAAAGACGTTTTTTGTTTTGTGCTGTACAATAAAATAAATATCCAAATCAACAACCAAATAACGTACGAGCATTTACTTATTTTTTCTTCATATTCAGACTGTAAACTTGTATTAAAGAAGATATTAGACACAAAAGATCCACTCGACCTGATCCGACCGATTCTATCGTTATTACAATATTTTTATAGAGTAGATGACGGAGACAGAATATTACAATATAAAGGTTGTGATTGCTTGGTAAACAATGGACACCGCTCGCAGTGCTTGTGTGGTCGGGGCTCAAATAAATAATGTCTACTTTAAAATTTCTGTACAGTTAGAAAAGCCTTTATGTTGTGAGAAATGACACTGGGAAGACCGGATATTGTAACATCAATCCTCAAATATAGGATCAGACCATAAGTAAAACATACGTATCAATTGAGTTTAGAAAAATGACCTGGCTCACATTTCTCGCAAAAATATCAGCTCCAATTTTGATTTCCCGAAGAAGTCCTTCCAATGGATTAATGGATTTAAACAATATGATAATTTAAAGAATGACTTATAAACTAAAACTTAAATATTTTTTCATTTTTCTTTTTCCTTTTTTTTTGCAAAAGTCATTATATATCTGGAGACATAAAAATTTAAATTCAACTGAATTCAAGTTAAATATAATTGGTTGTTGGAAAACTTTCTCAAGAAAAAAAGGGAAATTCTATTTAAACTCGATTACAAGTAATATCGGTAAGTTAATAATTTAACATTGTAAACAAATACTAATTGTTTGTATTGTCTAAGTTTCTTTCATATAGACAAATTACACCGGCCGTAAATCAGCTATGCTTTCTCTCTCATCACACGTCTCTACATGTACAAACAAAGGCAACACTTTATCAAATTAGCATTAGTATGGCACTTGAAAAATCTCCCGTATCAGGAGGGCATTGGTAAGAAAATTGTATTGTGCGTGTAATTATTTCAACAATTAGACAAATCTATTGTTGTCAGTGTTCGTTAATGTGCGGAATATTTTACTGTTTATAACGAAATTTACAGTATGACAGCATTTCTATGCTGCAACGTCTACTACAACAGTGACATTCATCTTATATTAATTTTATTTCTGTTATCTATTCAGTCATCACATACCTATAAATATGAATTTATGCAAATTAGGGATAACCCTACTGTAATTTGAAATTTGCGGCGATATATATCTTTGTGGCGATATATATCGCAAAATAACTTGACTGACCAATCAAATGTCGTTTTACATTTCAAATGAATTAGAATACGTTAACTGTTATCGCTTAATTTCCACGATTGATAATTTGATTTCCAGAATTTATGGAACTATTAATTGTATCAATAATGCATACAAATTTAAATGTAATGCTTTTTTCAATCGTTTCATATTCTGAAACAACAAAACGTTGAAAACAAATAATTAAAAAAAATTGACAAATTTAAATCAAATACCTGACAACCAGGGTATTTACCGGGAATCTTGACAGCATCTGAAACAACATGGAAGCTAATCAAACAAGTAGATGGATGTTTCAGGTTTTATGAATCGCCTGGATCGGTTTTAACTTCTGTGGTCGCTGAGACAGATGCCCTGTTAAAGTACCCGGATGTTTCACCTCTACGTGTTCAGGTCCCACGAGATTATTTCGCCGTGGCTTCAAATCAAAACCATTTGGAAAATTTCCACATTTTTTCTTATGTTTCGCTAATAATTTGTCTACATTGTATTTTGAACGGTATAATTCCTGATTAGCACGGAATCGTAGCATTTCATTTTCTGCAAGAATATTTACTCCTTCCGAGAAGGGTCGAAGTTCATATCTATATTTAGCTTTCGGATCCTTTACAACTTGGCCTTGGGCAATGCTAACGTTACGACTTCCGGTTTTATGGTCAGTCGTACACGGCTGTTTATCGAGAGCGAGTCCGTTGTATCTTGGGATCCAGCTCTTCTCACTCCCGGGTGGACCACGTGTGTTATTAGTCCGACTAGCCAGGAGTTTGTGACCGTCAACTTTTGTTAACCTCGACTTTTTTACACCTACAGTGTTTCCTACGACGCCGCCATTTTGTAGATTTTTTGTGCTTTGCATGATGACTTTGTCGTCTGTTAAAGGACGTAAATGTTTTTTGGTGTCTGTATTTAATCCAACAGGTTTTTCGTCAAAAAACATGGCGTAGACTGAGTGTTTAGTATTAACAAACTTTTTTCGAGTTAGTAACGCGTCGTTCTGATCCTTTATACTTTCCGACCACGGCCGAGGTTTGCCACGGTAACCAGTGGTATCTTTGACCTTCGGGGTCGTTGGTAGTCTCATCGTGTGAATTTGTGTTAATTTTTCTGTAGTTTTTGGTTTCTCTTTAAAAATAGGAAGATCCTGCACCGTGGGGTCATTGAAATAGTCCACCGGGTCCAGATTAGCATAATACTCGTCCTCGTTTGTGATGATTGGGGTCAAAGGGCGATAGTAGCAGCGCGTAATTGTCTCGGCCTTATGTGTCACGTGATGCGCTACCATTTTAACATTCCCTGCCGTCTTATTCTCCTTCATATTGTCAGTCGCCATTTTGGTTACTGGCACATTGCCATGGCCGATTTCATTCAATTTGTTTGTCTTCGGGCTCTTTTTCAGATTTGATTTTACTGGATCCGGAAGATTCACTGGCACATGCGCGTCACTTCTATCCGCTATGACGGTGATGTCGGTATAGGTGCTGTTTTGAGAGTTAAATATATCAACGACTAACCCACAGCGACTTTTCGCCCGTGGATGCGCGCTCTTAGGACGTGCTGATTCTAATCGCTTCTTGTCTGGTTCTGTGGGTTTTACCGGATGAGGGATTTGTTGATCACGTGACTTAGACTTATTTCCGAGAACTTCTGTTCGAGCCGATTTTGGCTGCGGGGGACGATTCCGATAATTATGTTTGGCAGATTTGGGTCGTAGCATGGAAGATTCCATGGAAAATCTATATCTTCATCCCGTTGTCATCATGACGTGTGATACTCTACACATTATTAGTATTACATCATTAACATTCCACAGTCGATAAGAACACCTGGCAGTAGTAATCAGATCCACGTTATTAACGACAATCACACGTTTGATCTGCACTGGTGGTTGATGTGTCGAAGATAACTTTTATTTCTCAATCTCGAATCTTCTGAACTGATTCATATTTGCATATGTCGTTTACTGCAACCCATCTTACTATTGTCGATGTGGCTGAAAAGTCACGTTGGTGGCGGGGAAGCTGATACTATCCCGGTAAACAGTTGCTGGGATTGATGCTGTTAATCACTTTATAGTCTCGCCTACGGCACCTGTAAAACACACAGAAACACAGAGCGTTGAGTGGAAACAGTCCAAACAGATAAACACACAATCACGGTCTCATCCAATAGTATTAATAAAACATCAATGTTTGGACAACACGTGCATGTGATAAGGCTTAGAGAGGGTTTATTATTAATGCTTGTAATGATGCTGCTTATTGTAGGAAATGTATACGATTTTTTTATCTACATTTCTTATTTTTTGTCTTTTCTCACTTGTCAAACATTTTCTTTGCTTGTTTTTTTCTCATTTGTCAAACATGTAAACAGGTATCCTATCTAGTTTTCTTGTTGGTTTTTTTTTTTGTCTTTTTTCACTTGCAAAACATGTAACAGGTATTCTATCTACATTTTTTATTTATTTTTTTATTTTTTCATTTGACAAAAAAGATCTTCTGACACAAACATCCTGGAGTTCCACTCATGTCGTTGAAGAAGCTATCTGCAAAATACACTCTTCTTGTTATAAATACACATGAAACGCACTCTGCGACCAGAAGTGACGTCAAAAATATCTCACAACTCCAAAACCCAATCAGAACTTTGACACATCTGAGATTACTTCCGGTGATGTTGGAAGAGTTACAGGCGAACAACTAAACAAACACAGTTTTGAACTTAAAAACTGACAGGTAAAAACACCATCACGCTATCTTATCTAAAGTAACCACACGGACAATAGGGAAAACAAATGGCCCACAAGCAGTGGCGTAATTTCTGTTTGCAGGAACGATATAACTAGTTATACCTTCTGTTGCAGACGTTACGGTCTAGTGTTGTAATTGGAGTGACACATAAACTACAGCGATTGCAATATTGTAAGCACCTAGCATGACCCTGTCGGTTTGCACGTGTATTTATTGNCGTTGTTGTTGTATGATAAAACATCAGATTTAACAGTGAACTCGCGACCGCCAGTTTTAAATGTGGTCCTATTACAAACATACATAACACGATTTGACTGAATGAGAACGATGACATTTGAAATCAACTTTTTGAATTGACAGATTTGAAAAAAGTATGTTCAGAAGAGAAGGTAGTTGATGTATTATATCTAAGAAATAATCAACATGTGTGCGTGCATTATGGTGGAATATATAACGAGGGTGAGACAACGTTTTCTTGGAAGTGCCAGTAATACAACATCATACGATAGGCCTGACATGAGTTGTTATATTTAGTTGGTTGCCATGACGTGATGGAAAGTCGCTGACCGGCTGATCATGACGCAACCTTCACCTTTACCGACTTCACCGGACAGCTGTGTTTTGCAACCACTGTTCAGACCGATGCTACTTTTTGCAACATTATTCTTCACACACGTTATGTACACTGTAGGCGAATGCTCGACATCACTTTGATTTTTTGAAAGCAGGCCACGTTTTGCAGACCAGAAACAACTGAACACGTGTGACGTCAGATACGATGTTTATTTCAATCAATCAAACATTGGCACGCTATCGACATCGTACACACACTGCACACATCGTGAAATGTACGGCATCACCCAGTGAAGTAAAAATAGAAGTAATTAATAATTTACCATTTTGTCTCAGACCTGTACATTTTAAATGTCAATAATTAATAAACCATTTTCACTGCACGGACCCACACACTTTAGGTCTATAGATCCGTATAATCTTTTGAATGGCAGGCCTGTCAAATATTTTGATCCCGTCTGACAGTTATGCTATTTTTGTTAATTCATGATAAAATACGGGGAGGTTGTTGGAACAGCATGCGTGCGCACTATTTCACGTGCATTGGTTATTGGCACGCGCATGGTATATCGCTCAATAATTCACTATTTTTAACCAATGAAAACCGTCGATACATCACAGACGTGGTATAATTGATATTATTCACTTTATATATAAATAGGAGTTTGATTTGTCTTGTTCTCTGTCGATGAGACAGAACATCAGTGCACTCACTAATACAATATTGGTTACCATGACAATAATTTGAGGTCAACAACCATTATTAAGATAAATGAAAGTTCGGGTATACGGCGATTGAAAACGAGGCGCTGTACTAATTCCTGACCCACACGAACACTACCAAGAATGCACTCCCTGTGGCGCTTGGTTATGATGAATTAACTACGACGTGAATTAGACCTTAAATCCACGACTCTGACGTCAAACGTGCTACACAGCAACCACAGCGTCGCTCCTCGGGCGAACGTTTTGTGTTTATTTATGATTGAGGTAAGAGACAATGTGTAAACACACTGTCTGATCTGTGTTGTTTGGATTTGGGCTGAATTTGTACGGTAATGTGACTGCGGACCAACCTCTCATAGCCTTCTAATTACCTTCTCGGTATCAGCTTTTTATGTCTTATTGATAATGGTGCCTTCTGGTTAAAACACAGCATAATTGTGCAAAACGTCCGTCGTAATTTTAGTGAAATCTATAAAATTGGAACTGGCAATGTATTTGTGGAGCTAAGCTGACATTAACATTGCTTTAACGAGGAATCTTGACCACGTGCGCTGATTGAATACTTGTAAAGGTCAATTCAAACACGTATTATGGGTAATTTGTTAATAAAATGGCGTCCACCGTAGGCTTAAGGGTCTCCCTAGTGACGTGTTACCATAGCAATGTAGAAACAATCAGTAAATACCATAGATTGACAAGACAACTCTGACGTCTCTAATTTACCGCAGATAAAGGAGAGGCCTATACTGAATTATACAAAATATGTATTTCTAAAAAAAAAAAATCTAAAAAAAATATATTTCTAAATAAATGTATTCGTGATTGATATAAATATTGTTGACTTGATAGCTCTAGATGTAGGTAGGAGTTTAATGCACATTTCCGAAAAATTATTTACATGCGTCACTGTTCGATGTTTAGCGCCAAACAGCAGTGATCCGGATACCTACTCAATGACGAGTTGGCAGGTAGAGGGTTACAATCTCCTATTGAGGAATATAGTCCGCTACAACTGACCATACTAGCAGGCTTCAAAATTCTGATCGGTGGCCTGTTTATGTTCAGCTATCGACTGCTCTTATAAAACATGGGGGATTTGTCGCCGAAATATGACGACAGCGATTGTGAGCGTTTTACATGTTGTTGTTTTTTAGAGAAAATAGGTGCCTGCATTTCAGTTTATTCATTTCTCACTCAATTGACCAGATGTCATGTCCCAATCAGATACATTATGGACGCTACATCGTTTTATTCAATCGAAGTGATGTGTTCTGTATTGTTACGTCAACGATCGCATTGTATACGTTTATCATAAATTAGCACTACCCTATTAGCGTGAAAAGTGGTAAAATAGCATGTACCGCTAAGATACCGCCACGTGACCAATGCCCGCTCAAGACTTAGACATGTAACCGACGCTTGTTTGTTATTTACCTAAACATCACTTTTAGTTTAGTTTAAACATATTTTATTGTACAAGAAAAGAAATCGTGTAAACTGTGAAAAGAATCCGCATTTGAATACATTATAAATTATACAAAATTTCATGACATGCAGCCCGGTATAGTAATTTTATAATGAACAAGATCAATGTAATAAAGTAATCAGGCAAAATAATGAAATGCAATTTCATAAAAATATATAACAACGTACACATATAAATAAAAATAAGGAATGATAATTATAATTATCAAAACCTATTGCTGGATTTGATGAAATGATGAACCTGCTTAAACACTTGTGTATTGGTTTCTACCGAAAGTTGGGCATTAACAGACAAAAGCAATTCTAAATCAAAATCAACATACAAGGCATTCAAATTTTGGAACAGGATGCGTCTTTCGTCGTTAAAAAGTAAGCACTCATAAAAAAAGTGAATGGCATTTTCACAGGGATGGCTACAATTACAAACTGGACTATCAACAAGATTTACCCTATAAAGATCATATTTAAGTGGACTTCACTGGTATCTAAGTTTTGTATACAAAATGTTTAATTTACGTTCACCGAAACTTAAGTAGATTGGCGGAGGAGATAGTACATTTGAAGTTAACGAGTTTTTAAAAGAATGTAAAGAAGTCAATGATCGTACTGAAAGGTCCAATAAATTCCAAATACGAAGAGTTGAAGGTAGAAAAGATGAATTTGTTAGAGAAAGCCTGAAAGGAAGAACTCTATAATCATTATTGTTTCTAAGGGTGTAATGGTTATTTTCTGCAACGGTAGACGGCAATAGATCATTTAAATAGTCCGGAGTTAATTTATTGTGCATCTTATACAAAAGTTGAAGTTTTCTGCGTTTTCTTCGATTCGAAAGAGTTTCTAGACCAGATTCAAAAAGTAAATTTTCGAATCTGGCATAAGAAGGAAGTCCAGTAATTATACGAATAGCTTCTCTTTGGGCTTTGTGCATCACTGCACATGTTCGACAACAGTATTCGCCTTTTTAATGTTGTTTTATTTGCTATTTGTTCACATTCAAAATAATTTTCATAAGTATGACACTCTAGACTTATAACAATGCATCAACTAATGTCGAAATCATTTCAGTTTGATGTCAATATTTCTAAACAATTTGAAGCTTTGTACTTTCAAATCGTTCAGATAGCTGAGATGATGTTGATTAGATATTATTTTTTATTTCGATTTCGATAAACTGTTTGTCTAAAAGGAGACAACTATGATTGAGTGACAGGTGGAGAGATTGTCGTGAGCCTTGTGACATATCCCGTGTATGTTACCTAATACAGTGAGGCTTCTCCAGGCAGTCAATATCGATCTCTCAAATAAAACAAAACGCCAGATCATCCTCGGCCACTGATGGGATTTAGTACGAATTTGATTCAGAAGTTAGCATAACTGTAAAACGCCTGCTCAGAGGTGATAAGTGTTTCCATGGCAATCGACAGATGCTTCATCTGTGGGAATCGATTTTATATGAAGACCACACCTGATAACAGAAACACTGCAGGAAGTTTGTCACGATAAAATAAATATAGGTAGGCTATGAAATTAGTGAAAAACATCAATGTCAATGGCAACCTCCGTTATTTTGTCGAGTATTTTTGAAACTGGCGTACTATTGTTACAGTTTGTGTGATAAACGTATACGATAGTAGATTTTACATAAATATAATATAACACAGAAGTCATGTGATAAATATGATATAACACAATCGTCATGTGATAAATATGATATAACACAATCTTCATGTGACAAATATGATATTACACAATCGTCATGTGATAAATATAATAAAACACAATCGTCATGTGATAAATATGATATAACACAATCGTCATGTGATAAATATAATATAACACAATCGTCATGTGATAAATATAATATAACACAGATGTCATGTGATTAATACAACATAACACAATTGTCATGTGATAAATATGATATAACACAATTGTCATGTGATAAATATGATATAACACAATCGTCATGTGATAAATATGATATAACACAATCGTCATGTTATAACTATAATATAACACAGATGTCATGTGATAAATATAACATAACAAAATTGTCATGTGATAAATATGATATAACACAATCGTCATGTGATAAATATGATATAGCACAATCGTCATGTTATAACTATAATATAACACAGATGTCATGTGATAAATATAACATAACAAAATTGTCATGTGATAAATACAACATAACACAGATGTCATGTGGTAAATATAACATAACATAGTTGTCATGTGATCATTTTAACATAACACAGGTGTCATGTGGTAAATATAACATAACACAGTTGTCATGTGCTCATTTTGACATAACACAGATATCATGTGGTAAATATAAAATAACCCAATTGTCATGTGATAAATATGATATAACACAATCGTCATGTGATAAATATAACATAACACGGTTGTCATGTGATCATTTGAACATAACACAGAAGTCATGTGATCATTTTAACATAATACAATTTTTATGTGATAAATACAACATAAAACAGATGTCATGTGGTAAATAGTTAAAATGATCACATGTCAGCTGTGTTATGTTATATTTACCACAGCTGTCATGTGATAAATGTAACATAACACAGATGTCATGTGGTAAATATAACATAACACAGCTGTCATGTGATCATTTTAACATAACACAATTGTCATGTGATAAATACAACATAACACAGATGNACCCGTTATTTTGTCGAGTATTTTTGAAAATGACGTACTATTGTTACAGTTTGTGTGATAAACATATACGATAGTAGACTTGTGAAACACATTATTCATGTGATAAATATAATATAACACAGAAGTCATGTGATAAATATAATACAACACAGATGTCATGTGATTAATACAACATAACACAACTGTCATGTGATGAATATAATAGAACATAGTTGGCATTTGATAAATTCAACATAACACAGATGTCATGTGGTAAATATAACATAACACAGAAGTCATGTGATCATTTTAACATAACATAGTTGTCATGTGATAAATATAATAGAACATAGTTGTCATGTGATTAATATAACATAACATAGTTGTCATGTGATTAATACAACATAACACAGATGTCATGTGGTAAATATAACATAACACAGAAGTCATGTGTTCATTTTAACATAACATAGTTGGTATTTGATAAATTCAACATAACACAGAAGTCATGTGATCATTTTAACATAACATAGTTGTCATGTGGTAAATATAACATAACATAGTTGTCATGTGATCATTTTAACATAACATAGTTGTCATGTGATACATACAACATAACACAGATGTCATGTGATAAATATAACATAACACAGTTGTCATGTGATCATTTTGACATAACACAGATATCATGTGGTAAATATAACATAACACAGCTGTCATTTGGTAAATATAACATAACATAGTTGTCATGTGATCATTTTGACATAACACAGTTGTCATGTGGTAAATATAACATAACACAGCTGTCATGTGGTAAATATAACATAACACAGTTGTCATGTGATAAACAATGTATAACACTTTTGTCCTTTTATAATTTGTGATAAATATACATATACAGATAGCATAAAGTATGTTCTATATCCTCATTTCAAAATCATAGAAAATTCAACCCTGTAGTTTAGGTGATCAGTATCCTGACGTAACTCTGCTTTTCCAGGAACGTAATGTTCTCATGTTTAAAGCGTGAAAAAAGTGATTTAATGATAACTGTTAAAATAAATGTAAATATAAGTAATGTTTTTTTCAATCAGTGTTATGGTCCTATTACA